ACTTTTTTGGGGATGATTTACCTAAACATTATTCTCACTGGAGGGACTTTCCCCTGCTCTCAGTGTCTATGCTTAATGCCATAGCAATCCCCTCTAGTTTTAAGGCAGAAATTTCAGGGAAAGTCTCTTTTTTTTTTTTTCATGCTATGCAAGCCTCAGAGGATATATGTTAGTTGAGACAGAATCTTTATAGAGACCTTAGTCTTTTAATTTTAACAAATGCTATAAATGTGTGTTTGTAATTACTGTTATGTCATCAGAACCCACTGATGTGCGTGGATGATGGAAAAAAAGTGATTTTATGTAACAAACAGATAAAAATGTATTTTAAAAACCATTTGGTAATTTGTCAAGAAGCTTGTGTTCATGCAAGTCTTTGGGGTGTTAAGGCAAAATGGAAATCTCTAAAGCAATTATCTTTTTCAATGCAGATTTATCAAGTGGAGAATGTGTGTGAGGAAGAAATGCCAGATGAGTCGGAATGTGCCCGTATGGATAGGACACCTACCCCACCAACCTTATCTCCACCAGCTATAGTCTTAGGGAATGGTGAGGAATTCGCCTCAGACGAAGCTTTGTCAGGTGAGAATAAAAGCAAAAGGCAGGACAGCTTTTCTACCAGCATGACTCCCCAGCCCCCTTCGCACAGCCCTGGGTGCAGCAGGTTGGGCTCAGTGGTGGGGAGCCCTGAGTATCGACAGCGCAGAGCCTTGCCTGCCTGCAGTGCTTGCCCGCAAGATGGAGGCTGTGGAGCTGGGCTGGGTGGGCCCAGCAGTGGGCTCACCTTCTCCCCTTACTCAGGACTCACTTCAGCCGTGAGGGGCCAAGGCAGCTCCTCCCTGTGCTGGACCAGGCAGACCCCATTAAAACTGCTTGTGACCCCAACCCCTGGTTGAGAACCGCTGATCTAATCCAACTGCTTTCTCAAGGTAAGATCATTCCTGACTAAACCATCCCTGCCAAGTGTCTGTCTAACCTGTCCTTGAAAACTTCCAAGGATGACTATTTCACTACTTAGCCCGTTCCAGTGCTTAATCACTCTTATAGTCAGAAAATCCTTCATTGTAATCTCTGACCTAAATTTCCTCTGTTGCAGTTTTGAGGCCATTTCTCCTAGTCCTGTCCCCTACAGTCGCACAGAAAAGTCAACCAGTGGAAAAGCTCCCAGTTCTGTGACTAAGAAATCTCCAGTCTTAATTCAATCTCTGACAACAAACAGAGCCTTGAAATCTTTAAGTCTGTTTCTCCATGTGTAAGATGATAGTACTTACCTATCTCTCCAGCACAGTGCTCCCACTCCAGTGTTCTTGGAGGTCAATGGAAAATTTTCCTTGACTTCAGCAAGTAATGAACAGGCTTAATGCTTGAAGCAGGGTGTTAGTACCCAGAAGCTTGCAAAGACCAATTTTTCCAACTATTTAGTTTTTCTAATAAAAGATACCACTCTACCCAAAGAACCTTGTCTGCCTAGGTCTAATGTACAAATTCATACTACAGCCTTTGCAAATGAGAATAAAATGAGATATGGATTTGTTTTGCCATGGGTTTTTTCTCCTTTTCTTCTTCCTTTCATGTTGCTGGATTAGGGAATTAGAAGCAAGTTTCTTTCCCAAAGTAAATGGCAGGATAGAATTACTTCACAGCATTCAAGTGCTAATAAGGATGATTTGCATCAAGATCAGACAATGTGTTTACTTCAGTTAAAAGTAAATCTTAGGCAGCATCACATACAAGTACAGTTTTCTTCTGCCCAGAAGAGGAGCATAATATGCACTTCAGGTGCGATGGACTACCAACTTCATGCATTGTTGCTGTTCTTGCTCCCCCTCTGGCTAGCAAAGGACTTAAGCCTTTGTGTACGTTACATTACTCTTGTGACCAGGGAACCTGGTTTTCCCTTATTTAAAAAAATAATAATCACAAATTCTCTGATTAAAACCCCCAAAATTCATGATTAAAATGAAATACTTTTTTTTTTTATATAGATAGATATATAGATATCAATTGAACACAATGTTTTATTGATATATTTACAATTGTAAAACAATTTGGAAGCCTACCAGTGTCTCAATCACTATAATAAAATAAATTCTAAATACCTATAGATGTTGGTATTTGATTTTGGGTTTTTTATCATGGAAAATCAGAGTTTTCCCTGCAACCTTTGTTCACCAGGCTGCAGGTCCAGGCCCCTCGCTCCCCACCCACAGACTCCCAGGTTTATTTGTGCCCCTTACCCCCCACCCAGAGCCCCCTGGGCCTTGCTAGTGTCCCTCACTCCCTGGTG